TAACTTAGAAAACCATGTGTTAATAATATCTATGTTTTATTTTACTTTTATTTATTATATTACATAGCTTGTGGGTGGTGTGTTTGACATCTCTGGACTATATCTCAAGTTCTATGAGTCAATGAATTTTAAAGCATCATTTATACTGGAATCAGTAGAAAAGTGTTTTACATATTAAATCACATAACTGAAGAATTTAAAATAGAGAAATACATTTCCTTTTGACAATGTGCTGTCATATTCTCCTGAATCATCTTTTTTTTTTAGTGTAACCTCCACTCATGCAGTCAAACTTTCAATCTTACATTCAAAAAGATAAAAAAAACCCTTGGAACAAATAACTCAGAAACTGACTTACATTACAAATGCATATTTTCATCCACTTAAATAAAATATCATCTATTCCAGGAAATGACATACTATGCTAAGTAATTCGATTTCAGGAAATAGCTAATTAAGTAATCATTCCGACCCATATTATTGATTAGTATAATTAAAAAAAGATTCTATTACATAAGTAGATATTGATTTGCATATATAATACGCATATGTTTTAAAATTCATTTTCTCTATTAATCCCTTTGTCCATTCACTCTGTGTGTGTGTGTGTGCATGTGTGCGCATGTGCACATGTGTTTAGGTGCATTATAAATACATGGGAGAACAAAAGTAAAATTAAAGCAACAACACTGTAGGTTTTCTCTGGCTCTCAATGATTCTTTTTTTTTTAAATCACATAGTGGCTTATCATCAATTTTTTTTTACCATAGTCTGAGGCTGAAATATAGCATTTTTTTCAATATTTTCCCAACCACTGCGCAATTTTATTTGGCTACTCAACTACTTAAAGGCAGAAAATATGCTGAAGGTGATGTCATGAAGTTAACTTCCTACCTGTGTGAATGTAGGTAAATCACCTAACTTCTCCAGGACTTAGGTTGCTCATCTGTAAAATAAAGGAAATAAAATAGTTTACCTAAAAGGCCCCTTGGAGTTCTGAATCTTTTTTCCTATAATCCTATGTATATATAAAAGAGCAGTGGGGAAAAGGATAAGAATATTAGGCCTACATTAGCAGAATCAGAGACAAGTGGATTTGGTCAAGCTTAATTCCTCTGTATGTCCCTGGGAATAGTCAGGAGCCAGATATATCTGTTGGGTTGGTTTTCTATGAAACTATCTTAGAGACCTATGGTAACTCAGAACAACCAATATTTGGTCTTATTTGACATTTAGGGCCTCCCATAATTTACAGATGAGGAACTGAGTTCTAGCTATATTATATGACCTGCCCAAGGTCATAGATATATGGAGTACCTAACAAAGCATGTATGCAACTTTCTCCATCTGGCTGTGCACAAGATCTGTACATTTCCATCTTTCTCTTATTATTAAGCCTGTCCTAAGACTCTTGACAGCTGTTGTTGCAAAGTCCCAAGGGAGGATTGACAGGGAAGGGGAATTATGCTATTTTTAAGTAACATTGTAATCACATATAATTGATGGCAAGTAGGTAGTACAATGGATAGAGCACTAGGCCAAGAATCAGGAAGACCTGAGTTTAAATCCAGTCTTAGACAGTAGCTATGTGACCCTGGGCAACTCACTTAACCCTGTTTGCCTCAGTTTCTTCATCTGTAAAATGATCTAGAGAAGGAAATGGCAAACCACTCTAGCATCTTTGCCAAGAAAACCTCAAATGTTTTCACAAAGATTGGACATAACTGAACAATAACAAATTGACGGTTTTGCATTTGAGAACTTTATTTAACAAGTAATTTGAGTAGAAAAGTGGATTCTAAATTCTGCAGGTCCAGAATATAACCATTTGGAACATGCTTAGTCCTAGGTTTTCAGTATAATTCCAGGATATTATAAGATTAATTGAAGAAAGTGAACATCTCAGTATTGGGGTGTTCCTTAAACCCATGAATTCTGATAAATATTCTAATAAAAATCCTTGCACAGATTTATAGGATGTTGCCTTAAGGGCATTACTAATTGAACAATTAGACAAAATGATTTAAAAATTAATATATATGTAGCCAAAATTCTAAGAATGTTTTACCTTCTGATGAGAGAATGCCAAACTATATAGAAAAACTAGGATATTGAATCCTGTTTATCTATACGTGGCCTGTAGCTATTATTTTATATTAATATTAGAGTTGCAATTTATTTCCCAAACTTAGAAAAGATGAGTTACTGTTTATTAAAATGAACTCTTAAGCTTACCAAAAGGATAACCAATCTTCACATAGAGTTTCCAGGAAGACACATTTTCCCCTGAATATCCCTGTGAATCCTCACAGGCAAGTGTCAATTCAAAGGAGAGATTCACACAGGTTTCTTGTCACCCAGTCCCATCTAACCAAGATTGTATTGCATCAGGAAATGGTTAATTTTCCAATAGAAAAGGCTTCTATTACTGAGTCTTCTTATCATCTTGTTGGCAAGGCTTCCTCCTCTTACAAAAACCAGGTGTTGACTGGAAAAATAGGATTTAAAGATTTATTCAGCCTTGTTTTGTATGTGTGTATGTGTGTGTATGTGTGTATATGTATACATGTGTGTATATATATACACACATATATAGATATAGATATAGATATAGATATAGATATAGATATAGATATAGATATAGATATAGATATAGATATAGATATAGATATAGATATAGATATGTATACGCATATAAAATGCCAATAGACATACCAGATAGCATTACCTTGTAACCCAATTCTGTACAGCACCTAACACAGAATCATGAGCCTTCAGGTGCTTAATAAATGTTTTTTTTTAAGGATATATGTACATACACACACATACATGTGTGTAGGTATACATACATAATATATACATATAATATATTATATATAATATATATATAAATACATATATTTATATATACACACTGTGATACCACCCCTAATTTATACTTTGTTTATCTTGTTTGTACATAATTGTTTACATATTATCTTCTTCATTAGATTTTTTGAGAGGAGGAACTCTTTTTTTTTAATTTGTTTTTGTTTTTCTTTGTATTCCTAAGGCTTAGCACAATGCCTTGAATGTGGTAGGTACTTACCAAATACTACATGATTGAATAACTGTAATTTTCTATAGTAGTGTATAGGCCAAAAGGAGAAAAAATGATTGAATCTAATGAATAAAATATATAAAGGAGACATCTAGAAGCCTCAGAGGTTTTAAACCTTTCTACCTTATGTGACATTTTAGAAAGCATCATTTGGGACTGCATATCTTGAAATAGTATTTACTGTTGTAGCAGGACAATGATTCTGGTGTGTGAATAACCCTTTATCCAACTGTTTAACATAAAAACATAAATCTCTACTGCTTAGCCAACTGTTTAATACAAAACCATAAACTCCTGGGCCATACCTTGTATTTGAGTATTTTAACAAATAATCCATGCTCAGCTGTCACCTAAAAGATTGTGTAGTTAATCTCTATCCAAAATTTTGGTGGGAGTCACAGATTTTTGATGTATACTTTCTAAAAGACTTACATTTCAGACTTAATGAAGCACATTCATGAAAAAGTTACAGAAAAAGTTTCTGTAATGAAAGGAACAAACATTTTACCTAGAAGAAGGCAAAATAATCAAAACTAATAAGGCTCTGGTTATCTTTAACTACTAAGATGAGTAGCAGTGTGAGATTCATTTCTCATTTATCTGTCTTAAATTCCACCATCCCTCCCAAAAGAATTCTGAAATAAACTTTAAGATAAAGAGGAAAGAACAAAAGGAAAAGAGTTAAAAAGAAATCAAAAGAGCAACACAAATTGAATGCTCTCTTCAAGCTAATGTTTTAGCCCCCTAAGATGATGAAAAAAAGAATCAATTATCCTGTTCTCAGTCAGACCTGCATTTCGCTTCTATAATAAGCAGATAGCACAGAGAGCGAGACCGAGCACCAGAGCCAGAGGGTGAGCGAGACACTTAGAGTCATATACCCAGTATAACATGGACCCAAACCACCCACATCAATCTATATGTAGAGAAAATTGGTTCCTAGGTTAGTAACCATTAGTCATAGACTATAGAGATCATTTGTGTTCCATTAGCCATTTTATCAATGTGAACAAAACCCTAGGGAGCAATCACTCTTATTTTTCTTTCTACAAGGAGAAAAAAACAAATGAACAACTGGCATATGCATATAGTAGTGTGGTTCTGTTAGTGTGTGTGTGTGTGTGTGTGTGTGTGTGTGTATGCCTGGCACTTAGTAAGTACTTAAGTGCTCTCTCTCTCTCTCTGTCTCTCTCTGTCTCTCTCTGTCTCTGTCTCTGTCTCTGTCTCTCTGTCTCTGTCTCTCTCTCTCTCTCTCTCTCTCTCTTTATGTAGTTAAAACTCTTCATCTTATACATTATGTATAGATAAGGAAATTGAGTTTTAGAAAGATGAACTTATTTACATGAGGTCAAGTAGGAAGTTAGTGATGAAGCTTTGACTCTAAGCTCCCAATTGAGCAGTTTATTGTCCACTGGGTTAAAGTGGATGGAGAGAGGAAGAAAACAATACCATCCCAACTCCCATTCTTTTTCCTTTGCCTGTAGATATAAACACTGCTCAAGAAGGCCACACATCAAAAGATAACTGGACATATAGTTTATTTTATTAATAATAAAGGGAAGGGGTAGGTGGAGATAAGTATTTATTAAGTATCTACTATATGCCAGGTAATATACTAATTGCTTTACAAATTTTATCAGATTTCACCATCAAAACAACCCTATGAGATAGGTGCTACTATTCTTCCTATTTTACAGTTGTAGAAACCAAAGCATATAGAGGAAAAATGATTTGCCTAGTGTTACAAGGCTAGAAAGTGTTTGAGAACACATTTGCATTCAGAACTTCCTGACTCCAGATCCACAGGTCTAGCCATTGGGCCACTTATTGTCTTTTTGCCTTAATATTAAATTTTGAAGTGTACTAATAGCACTCATTATTTGAGGTTTTATTTTTTAAGGATGTTTGATGTAGGTGGACAGCGGTCAGAGAGAAAGAAATGGATTCACTGCTTTGAAGGAGTTACTTGTATAATATTCTGTGCAGCACTAAGTGCCTATGATATGGTCCTGGTGGAAGATGAAGAAGTGGTGAGTCCAGATATAAAATATGACTTAATTTGATTATAAAATAAAGAATCCCGCTTCACAATAGTAAGGTGTACATAAGACCTATTTTTTTAATGCAGTGTTGCCCTTTAAAAGATACACATGCTTTCAACTTCTTGTTTATGATACCCATGTAAATGTGACCCTTTATAGAAAATGGAATATGTCTATTTACTATTCTCATCACCTCTATTCAACAGAACCGAATGCATGAAAGCCTTCACCTGTTCAACAGTATCTGTAATCACAAATACTTTGCTAGTACTTCCATTGTCCTGTTTCTCAACAAAAAAGATCTCTTTCAAGAAAAAGTAGCCAAGGTTCATCTTAGTATCTGTTTTCCAGAATACACTGGTAAGATTTGTTGTGCAAACCCTATAGCCATTCATTCAATATCCATACACCTAGGTCCTCTGAATATATTTGAATATGTATAAATCTTTGTATTTAACAGTGATCCTTAGGAGATGTTTTTCATGTGTATAAGCATAAAAAGAAAAGATGAATTTCAGACCAGCAGATGTTTCTATACTGTAAACAATGAAAAAAACTCATATTGAATGAACAGGAAAACCAGACCACTGAGGCACTGACACAGATTAAGTGGAAATATTGATTTCCACACTACTAAATATACATTGTTAAAACACTATACAGTGTCAAAAAAGCTAATGAGTGTCCTGTGTTAGAACTATCTTTCCCTAAAGGAACCTTTAAATGTCACAGACATTTTTGAGACTGTCTAGGAAGAAAGCACATGTAATTAAGTCATCAGGATTGTCATTACACACTGCTTTCTAGTTTGAAGAATGACATAGATGATATTTTCTACCAAGTTACAGAAGATGAAAAAAAATTCATCCTCATAAGAAAATCCAAGTAATCTTATCCTATTCCGTACCAAGTTTCTACTAAATAAAATTCTGCTTTTAAAGACAAACAAATTAGGTTTCTTGAAGTGCAGCCCTTTTACTGAATCCAAACTTCACAGTTGAAGTACTGCACTTGAGGACCTAGAGGGCCATGTGTGGATGCGAGGCCACAGTCTTCCCCCACCCTAACGGTTAGAATAATCTTTTAAAACACTCTTTTCACTGTCACTCACCTGCTCAAAAATCTAAAGTGGCTCCCTATTGCTAATCACATTAAGTTCTAAGACTTTCTACAATCTGTTCCCATCTTAACCATCTAAATTTATCTCTTATTACATTCCAAAATGAAGATTCCATTCTACCCATGCAATCTTCTCACTCCACTCTATGAGTATTCTGTCCCTTTCATCATGTTGTTTCATTTGCTGCTAATGCCTAACCAAAACATATCCACATTCTACCCATCCTTTAAAATCCATTTTGATTTTTACCTCCTTCTCCAAGCCTCTTATGTTACTTTAGCCTCACCAGAATTCCTCTTCCTCTGAATTCCTACAGCCTGTATCCTCCAGACAACATTATGTAGCACTTGATGACATACTGCCATGAAGCATTCATTATTTTTTTTTCAAGTGCATTAGTTTTGACTTTCAGCCACATAGAAGTTGATTAATTGATGACAGCCTCCCAGAGTTAGGCTTAGTTAAGTCCTGGCCATTAAATATGGAGCATACCTGGTATATTGTAATCACTATATGTGCCGACAGCAAGATTTAATTTTTAAAAAAGGATTTAATTAAAGGAAAGGATGTTTGATGGTGTTATTTATAATTTTGACTGTGAAATAACTATTAGCTCCTTCTTTGAAGCCCTTGGTATTTGAAGTTTTAATATCCAATGTGTTGATTGTTCCTGTCTCTTTCAATCTAGGACCAAACACATTTGAAGATGCAGGGAACTATATCAAGAACCAGTTCCTAGACCTGAATTTAAAAAAGGAAGATAAGGAGATTTATTCCCACATGACCTGTGCTACTGACACCCAAAATGTCAAGTTTGTTTTTGATGCAGTGACAGATATAATCATCAAGGAAAACTTGAAAGATTGTGGGCTGTTTTAATTGCTCCTTCTAAATGTGCCTTGCATATGTGTTATTTTCATGGGATAAAGGAAGATATGCTGGGTGTTCTGCTGTATTTTGGACAAGTTTTAGCTGACTTAGAATTAGAGTTAGAATAATATTGCAAGGGGTTGGTTCCCAAATGTTGAAACATATGACTACTTGCTCAAACATTACCTATACTGTTTTTGGCATCATAAATAACTGAATGTACCATGGTGTCTAATGTGAATGTAGGGAAGTGTGCACCTTCATATAATGCTTTTGATTTTGACTTCTTAGATTTTAGCTTGTGAAATATCTTTGAACTTGAAAATAGGGCACACTGATGACATTTAAAAATAGCCTTCTGTGTTGTGGCCTAGATTCTTTAAGCAGATAAATTATGGGAAATGCAGGGCACTGGGACATTTTTCAAAGGTCAGATATTTTTTAAATGTCGATTTTGATTAGGAATTGAATTGACAGATTTCATTCACAAATTAATGGGAGTTATTTTGGACTAGTTTGGTCAATTTCACATGGCACAAAGGTTTGGCATAAATATTGCCTATCACTTTAATTTTTTAAAATTTTACATACAAAGGATTATATATAACATTAACCCAATACTTCATTTTGATTTTTTAAATTATTTGAATACATGATTTCATCAGTATGGGTAAGTCTGATGTGGATACAGGAAAAAAAAAACCTTCTAGGGCTTTCCATGCCAAAAAAAAAAAATCTTAATGATTAACATTCTGTTGATGAGACTCTATGCTTAGTAATACTTCTGAATACTAAAATCTTTCCTGTTTAATAGGACTTACCAGAGTTTAATGTACTGCTGAAGTAGTCTCTAAGAATCCAGAGCCCTCTACAGGCTATGATGAGGCATGGGAGTAGGAATTTAGTTGAGATGCTTTTTCCCTTGTATGCTATTAATTTGTATAATCTATTGGATTTTATATGTTGCAAAGAATGTACTCAGTTTCCATCCTTTTTGGTCAAGATGGATAGAGGAAATCACCTTTTACCCCTATCCAGGATTCTCCAAGTTACAATGGAGTTAGATTTTTCTAGCTGTCCACATAGTTAGTGTCCTTGGAATTGAAGGAATCCAGTGAATTTTTATCCAAGGTCAAGAGCCACACATAGAGAACCATGCGACAGGACAGTAGAAGGAACAATTTCACCCCGTATGAAGTTGCCCAAGAGAGACAGCGTGCTATAGTGGATAAAGAGCTAACCAGAAAGATCTCACTTAAATGCCCTCTCATTAAGATATACTGGTTGTGTGACCCTGGCAGATCAAATTAACTTCTCAGTGCTCTAAAATGTTGAGTTGTAATCAGTCAATAAACTGGCATTTATTAAGTGCCAACTATGTGCCAGACTGCCATAAGCCCTAGGAAAATAAATAAAATTTAAAAAAATAAAACAATAACAAAAAATAATTCCTTAGTTCAAGAAACTCTCAGTCTAAGGAAGAAAACATGCAAATAAATATGTAGAAATATATCTAGAGTAAAAGGGTGGTAGGAAACGATTAAGGAGGACTGGGAAAAGCTTTTAGCAAAAGTTGACACTTTAGCTAACACGATGGACTTCAGGGAAATTAGGCGGCAGAAAGGAGGAAAGAGAGTCTTCTAGACACAGGAGACAGCAAAGTGTTTGGAGTCAAGAGATGGATAATCTTTGGTGAAGAACATCAAGGAGACCAGTGTCGCTAGATCATGGAATTGTGGAGAAGATACCAATATATACCAGTGAAGGCAATTTCTTCTCTCAAGAGGTCCTGATAGCAATGAAATCACAGGCCCATCTCCTATCCCTGTGGGGCACTGGTTGTACCCCATAAAGTCGCAGGGATAATCATGCTATGTGAAGTCATGCTAATTTTTTAATCAAAGCAGTAGAAATGATTGTCGTATCCATCAATCACATCGAGTCACGCTTCCTTAACAACTATCAGTTAATTAAAGTATAAGGAAGGAGATCCTGAGGAAGTGAATAGTGAGCTTACTTGCAGGCGCTTATGCAGCAGTCTATTTTAAATATTATGTGCTTCTGTCTCAGAAAACGTGTAAGTTTAAAAAGCTCATTCAGTACCTTGTAGACTGACTTATTCTACTTTTTTCAGAGGAAATAGCATGCATTTCCTTTTCTTTGGCTTTTAGCATTTGTGTGCCATTTAGTGAAATAATACTTTTTGCAATTCAAATAAACTTCTCAAGGGGACTGATTATATATAAATTTTCCTATATAGAGCCTCATGAAATAGTAACCAACAATGCTACACAACAACTATTGTTTAAAATGAGATAATCATATTTCTTCCATTTGGATAAATAGAGATAGGCATAACTCACTAATGGATTTTTCCAGTAACTATTCATTTCATTAACTTATTTGTTTGTTGATTTTACAACTTCATTGTATTGTATATATTACATTTGTGGGGGAAATTAGTGTACTTTTCATTAATTTCATCACTTTGCTTTGACTAGTATGTCTGTGGCTTTGTTTTGTAAAATCATATAATACTTTGCCCAGAGAGCAAGCACATGGAGAATAATACCTATTTAAAAAAGAACACATTTAGCATTTTATCTTAAAAGTGGAAATGATTCAGTAGTGGGAGTACAATTATGAGAGACAGTAACGGGAGACAATGTTGTGGAAGTATTCTTGGTCAGGTAAAAGTAAGATGAGATAGCCATTGGAGTCTAATCTGACTTAAAAGAATATAGATTTTAAAATAATACAAAAGTAACTTAGTTTACCCATTAAGGAAACTTATCTGGCAGTAAACATTTAGCCACATAAGGGCAGTTCAACATCTTGCCACTAATAAAAGTGACTTAACTGGGAGTGGATTTCTACCATCAGGAGAATTTTCCAGGAAAATCTTGACTGATTCCCAGGAAACTAAATTTCCATTCTGTTATCCTCAGACTACAGAGTAGTGAAAAGTTGAAATTTGCAAATACTTGCCCAAGTGACATAATGGTTACTGGATGACTGAGACAAATAAATTGAATTATTGGAGTTATAACCATTGAAGGTATTTAAGGACCAGTTCAGTGACTACATCCCAATATTTTTTAGGTGCAGTCCTAACTGAAAGAACAAATTGGCTCAGTGTCAATAAACACTAGAAAAATATTCCAGTTCTAGTAATATATCATTAGCCACTTTATTTCACCACTAATCTTGGTTCAAATCAAGTTCAGAACAAGATCAATGACTTATTTAAAAGAAAAGATTGTTGAATGAAAAAAGGGAAATGTTATACCATTTATATTGTTTTTCCTTTGAGAAGCTGATGGCTTAATGTTTTAACTTCTTTGTATTGTAACTGAAACAATATTAATAACTGATCTATTAAAAGATGAATTGTTTTCTGTGGCTGACTTCACAAAGATAAATACATTTTTCTCAAACCTTTGGCCTTGATTTAAACAGAAATTAAAAGGAATAGTCTCTGGATTCTACTTAGTTGTTCTTGCCTATTAAGTCCTTCTCCAAAATGTTACTCAGACACATTTATTTTCATATGTGTATAAAGAAGAAATACACAGTAGGGAATGGAATCACGTATCACAACATAACAATCCATTCTACAGGTGTGTTCTTTTGGAATTGTATGCATTAAACATTTCAAAAATGGAATTTTTACCATGCCATACTCCAGAAGAGAAAGCAAATCTTCTTTAGGACTATGATTTTCAAAGTTTGGCATTCTAGTTCAAGTATAGGCATTTATTTTTCATGTTTCTAAAGTCTTAAGCTTATTTAGGGGAGTGGAGGGTAAGATGGTGACTCTACAAAGAGAAGGTGCAAGGATACCAATAATGCAAAAATCAAGTATAAAGTCTCCTGCCTGCATTTGAAACTCTTCACAACCTATCCCTTCCTACTGTTCCAACATTCTTATACTTACAGTATTCCAGTACTTTCCATACTGTCCTATTTCTCAAACATAACGTTAACTCATTTCAGTACCTTTGCACTGTGTGTTTCCCATGCCTGGGATGTACTCCCTTCTTACCTTCTCCTCTTGGAATTCTTGTTTTTTGTATTTTTTTCCCCAAAACTCATCTCAATTACTACTTTCTTTATGATCCTTGATCCTAGTTAACCCTCCTCTTCCCCTCACCCCACACAGTGGACAATTTCCCATAACCAACTTGTATTCATTTTGCATATATCATATGTACACATATAGAAAAGGTAATATGGTGCCCCTAAAGGTGCCAATATGTATTTGTAGAGGGGATTTGCTGTACTAGTGAAATAACATCTTGAGTCCCTATTCTTATCCATAAATGTTTCTGACATGAGAATGTAAGTTGGTTGAAGACAGCAACTGTTTCACTTTTGTTTTTGTGCACATACCATTTAGCACAATACTAACTGGCACATAGTTATTAATAAATGTGTTTTGCTTGATTGCTAAATACAGACTATATATTAAGATATTCTATAGAGATACAAAAACAAAAGCAAATTCCCATTATATCAGTGGAGACATATACAGAGATAGATATGTAGCTAGCTTGCTAGATATGTAGATATAAAATATATAGATGTGTGGATGTGTATAGCTATATATACACATATAATTTATACATATATAGATACATATGTGTGTATCTATCTATCTATCTATATATACAATTAATAGGTATATAGATATCAGTACATATATTGATATATAGATGTAGATTTATATATAGATATCTATCAATATAGATATTTCTATATAGATATTATCAATATTGATAAATCTAAATAGATATATGTATATGGACAGCTATATATCTGTATCGATTATATGTGTGCATGTAAATGGATGGCTACATACATACAGACACACACACACATACACACATACATACACACACACACACACACACACACACACACAATGACTGGAGAAAGGAAGGCCCTAGCATCCAGGGCATCAGGAAGCAGCTCGTGTAGAAGCTAGCCCTTGAGGGGAGCTTTGAACAACAGCAGGAAATCTAAGAGGTGGAAGAAAAAAGGGAAATGATTTCAAGTATTGAGAGCTTCCAGGACAAAGGCATGAGGTAAAAACTGGAGTTCTGTGTGTGTGGAATAGGTTTTTTTTTTCAACAGGCCAGTTCAACTAGACAGTCATATGTGTTGATGGGGAATACTGTGTAATAAAGTTCAAAAGTTTGGTAGAAGGATTTAGGATTGACAGATTCCCTGGGATTGTCAGTATGCTTTCTAGATAATGTTTTTATTGAATTTTAATAGTAAATGAATCATCAAGTAATATGTTCCCATTTTCATAGTGTTGGAAAAGGTCCTAAATATCTCAGGACTGGCTTAGAACAAAAATTTTTAATCACTTTCTACTACTCCCCATCCCCAACTCACCACTAGTGAGCAGATCTCATTTTCAAACTCCAACTGAAAACTTAGCTAGAGTTAAAGAATATGCATGAGTTCTAGAAGAAGAAAGAAAAAAAATACCTTAACCTTCAGTAGTGCCACATGTTCTATGTTACTTCAAGATCTGAAGTAGAAAATTTGATTATGTCATAAGGGAATATAAGCTCATTAACCAAAAAAAAAAAACCAACAACCTCTAAGTAATGAAATTTTGGCCATTGCAATGTTAATGAAGACCAGCTAAAACCTGGAAGGGTTCTGCTTCATGTCAATAAGAGGCAGTAAGGACAATGATTAAATCACATATCATTCAAAATATGGATCCTATGATCCCAAATGCCTCCAGAAGAGGAATAGTTTTATTCTTTACATTTATATTCCTAGTCCCTGTGTACCTAGGACATAGATTAATAAGCATTTGCTAACTGAGCTACATACTTATATGAATATCATATTTAAATATATGTATACATGTATGTATACATGCACATATATATGTATATACCTACACACATATACATGTACATGCATGCATACATACATATATGAACTCCTTGGTTGCAAAGAATGATAAATATGGGGTGAATAGAGTGGTAGGGGTCTGGAATATCCATCCCTAAGAACTTCAAAAATAAGATATACCCATCTATTTACCATAATGTAATCATTTTTAGTCCTCCACAGGCCCATGATGTATCTGCATAAGTTTGTTGAACAATTGTTAGCACAGACTGTACAAAGTTATAGCCACATGGGGGCAGAATCACATCAATTTTTTTTTCTCTCCAATGCCTAACTTCATATTTAGTATGCTACTAAAAACTTTTAGAACAAAATATTATGCATTTTAGAAGTTATAGAACAACTTATACTCCCAGTCCAGAAGTATATTGTAATTTTTGGCAATCATCATTGGCAATAAAATTTAG